TTGAACTTGTGTTTTATTTGGAATGCAGGAGGCTTAATCAATATCAAAATGTTTCGAATATTAATGAATTACTAAATGTTTTTTACAAACATATTTTAAATGATTTTGATATTAGTAAGCATACTACATTGTTTATAATTGATGGATTAGATGAGTTTAAATATTTAAATGAATTATTAAATCCAAATTTAAGTTGTACCTTTCCGATTGTTAATGCTTTAGCAGAAATTCAAAGTTATAAACATGTAGTTGCTGGTAGAGTTTACGCAATTGATAAATATCAAAATATATATCCAGAGCATATTGATAAGTTAACCATTCAAATAATGGGGTTTAACCAAGATGGAGTTGAAAATTATGTAGAAAATCATGTCATAGAAGAAAAAAAAAAAGTTGTTAAAGCAACTTTAAATGAGTCTCCAATTGCAAAAGTTATGGCATTTGTTCCATTTTATTTATCTTCCATGTGTAAAATTATTAGTGATTCAAGCAAAATATATACAACTTCTTTCTTAACGATGACAGAATTGTATGCAAATATTTTTTTATACTTTTTGCAAAAACACATTATCAAAAATAATGGATTGGTTTATGAAATGATGGCAAATGAAAATAATAAGAAATATGTATTAACCATTTGTAGGATAGCTTTTGAATTGTTTATTGAAAATAAATTTATTTTTTCAAAAGAAGAAGTTTTACTATTTATCAATAACTTTAATGAAGTTGATGAAAGTCTTTTTGGTTTTATAGAAAGGGTTGAAACACATCTTGGTTATTTTTACCAATTCGCACATTTGACTGTAATGGAGTTTTGTGCATCTGTATATGCATACAATTGTTTAAGCTTTGAAGAGATTATGGCCAATGAAAAGCTGAAGAGTTGTTTATCAATGATTTGTGGATTAAGCAATAAAAACCAAAATATTATATTAAAGTTTCTTGTTAACCTGAATCCTTCTAAAAAATCAAAAGAGGAGTCTTCACTTTTGATTCCTATTTTGGGTAAGTAAGTAGTTTGTTATTAAACTTTGGTGCATTTTTGATAAATATACATATGTACAAATGTACAAATTTTGTTTAATGTCATTTTTTTTTAAAGAGAAAACATATAATTATCAAAATATTTTTATCATAAAAATATTTTTTATATTATTTTCTTTTAAGCTTTTTTTTTTTTTTTTGATTAGTTGCTATTTTATATCTTTCATTCTCTGCATTTGATATGATTTACTTTTATTGATATGATTTACTTTTATTGATATGATTTACTTTTTTTTTTATTTGGTGTGTTTAACAATATTTAGCAACTGTTTTAGGGAAATTTAAATAAATATGTCAATGTTCTTTTTTTCTGCACAAGTTGCTTGACACAAATCTTTATGTATGTATATTCTTTCTTAAAATATATCCAAAAAACATTTTAGCACATTTCTTGTAACAAGAGTCTGGCTTTGACATAGTATTTGCACTAAAATTAGTCCATAGAGCCACAAAAACAGAGGCAGTAGGTCATATGTAGTTGCACTTTTACCTTAATCAAGCATTTCTTGAATCGTCTAATTAATGTTTGTACCCGTATAAAGACATTTTATCTCTCGATTTATATCAGCATTATCAAACAAACCATTTTCTATTATGTGATCCAGATACTTGAATTTGTCAATGAAACTAATTCACATCTTTTGCTAAGGTAAACAGTGCAAAGTTGCTTGACACATTATTACATCTCTGTTTTGGGTTAAATAACATACACACCCTTTTTTTTTTTTTTTTTTTTTGTATTAATTAAATGGCATGTTAATGGCAGTGGCTTCAACATTCAATGCAGTTAATAATTTTGCAATGCAAACCAAGATCGAGCACTCAATACAATATCGTCGGCATGTGCCAAAAGATTCAAAAAAATTTCACCTATGTAACATCCAATATGCATATTTGTAAATATTGAAAATCAGTGTTCTTATATAACATATGAACAAGAACAGTGAAAGATTTCTACCTTGCTGTACACAATTGCTTATGTTAAAGCTGTCAGAGTTTACTTTCTGCCATCTGGCAAACATAGTTTGATTCTTGTACCAAAATGCAAGTAGATAGGCAACGTTTATGGCAATACCCTGATCAATTAATTTAAAAAACAGTTTTCAATAATTAATGGTATAAAATCTATAAAGCATGCAAATACATGGCTTCCTCTAGAAATAAAGTATTTAACTGTCTTTTTTAAACAATATGTACAAGACATTGTGGAATGAATTTTCTTGAAACCAAACTGAAAATAATCAGCATTCTCATGAGATATGATTCTTTCTAATTAAATACCTTCAAATATTTTAGAACAAGCCGGAGAGATTGCAATTACTCTGTAATTATTTACATCTTTTAAGTCTCCGATTTTAGATTTTACTAGAATAATTATCGTGGCTTAAGAAAGTTAATGCCAAATGTCCATGCAACAAGCATAAATTAAAAAAAATACTTAGATAAAGAGACAGTCTATGTCCTCCATATATAAATGATTCCATAAACAAGCCATCTGGTCCAGCAGATTTTCTCTTTTTTTGCTTATACAAAGGATTAGTTCCATCTATAATAGTAACTCTAACAGGTATATCTAGTAATAAAGAATACACTTTGTGCTCAATCTGTATTCTATACATTCTATACTATGCTGGTTATCATTAAGTGAATTATATATTGCTTGAAAATGTTTTTTTCTTATATTGGCAATGTCCTTGTCACCAGTAACTCTGCCAATACTAGCAACATGATTGATTGCCTTTACATTAATGATATTCTCTGTAACCTCTGTCAGCTTAAATTTACTCAGTATGATTTTTACAGTACCTAAAAGCAAGTTTAAATACTGCTCGAGTTTTTTTCATTCTTTCAATTACATGTTTAGGTTTTCCATCAATAACCAATTTTTTGAATGCATCCCTGCATTTTTTTTTTCTTAACTAAAGCTCATTCATAAAATATGTAAGGCACTCTCTTTAAGTTTTCCTACTTCCACTACCATTTTTTACTGAAGCTGCTACATCTCTATATGCTGATGCTTAAATTACTTTATCTTTGTTTAACATTGTTCAATACAATGTTTTGTTGAATCTGTCTATAATTATGCCTTTTTTTTTATGTCATACCACACATCCATCTGTTTAGTCACACCACACATTCATCTGATCGTTTTTTACTTTTCACAAATACTATTCCATAAATTCTAAAGTTTATATAACAATAAAAGGTTGTTGTATGCCTGCATCTAAATAAATAGTAATCAGATATGTTTATATCCATAATATGTATGCATAAAATGCATCTAGGAAACTTTTAGCTTTTCTGAAATAAATGTTTGGAAGCTTTTATTACTTCTCTTCAATTTTAACTCAAGCCTCATTCTACTCCACATTTTTCACCATCTTGAGCAGTTGCTTATTAAACAATAATGCTTTTTTTTCATCATTTTTACAAGAACATCTCTCTCTCTTAAGAACAAATTTCCTTTTATTATTGCAAAAAGCTAATGTAAAAAAGTCTTGTCTGATGTTAAGCTCTGTTATTCTCAGTTTACTAAATCTTGTATCTTTCTCAGATGTTTGGTTTCAGAGACTTTTGGTTAGTCTTCAACATTGTCGTTAACTAAAGTCTAACATTTAATCTTTAGTTCATGTGTTTTTTTTTACTTCTCCACAAAATAAAGCAGATTTATTTGCAAAGAAATCTTATCCTTATTTGACTCTTGAATATAATAGCCATACTCTTCCTAACACTTGAACAGATTAAATCATTGTTATCCAAATCAATCTTCCAATGGCTTCCAATGATAAAGTTAATTCTTAATTAAACACTTCTACAGTTTGTGCTTCATAATAGATTTCCATCATAGTTCAAAAAGCGTTCTCCAAAACTCTCATCAATTGTTGCTAAACTTTTATAATGTGCTAATTAAGTGGTTCTAATTTTTTAAAACTCTAGAAAACACTTTGACCTCTCCAACTATCCTACAAATAGCTTTTTCTATCTTATTAGTTTATTCATATAAAGATTTTGAGGTTATTAAATGTTTTTTTTTCTAACTGCAGTATTAAAGTTGTTAATTAAGGCCTATCATCTTCTTTATTCTAAGTAACTTTAAGACTCCTATATTGTTACTTATCTACAATAACGATCTTCATTGAATGTAAAGTAGCTCTATTTCCTGACGACTCAACTTAATACTCGTCTCTTGACAAAAAGTCTTCAGTTTTTTTTGTAACAGTCTAAGGCTTGCAGTGGCTTATGGCTTTTAAGTCTAGATTTAAAATCCACAACTTTTATTAGACAACAAAACTGATTTGTTTAGTGCAAAAAAATTGCAATATTGTTGGCATTCCTATATTGTTATATAGTAACCTTCTTATCCTCAGACAAAGTCTAAATGCAAATTATAATTGTAATTAGACCTGTTTTATCTCCCAAGCTTAAGCCACTCTCCCATTGTTCTAAGGTTGCATTTCTTTTTTCTACAAATACAATGATGATCAATGCTCAAACAAGCTATCATCTCTATTACAATAAAACAAAACTCATTCTTGCTTGTTTCTTATTCAACAATTTGTATACTTTTACTGTATCTGTTATACACAATGTTATACACAAATTTTGCAATCAATTTTTTCTGATATTACTGTTTTATTTTCGGTTGTATGCTTGTGTAAAAAAACAAAAAAGTTTAATAAGATATGGGTCTTGAACTACAGACATTCCGTTTACAAAGTCAACACCATATCTAAATATGCTAAATGTGCATATAAGTATGAAAACAATCAATATACTTATTTTAAAAATTATTATTATTTTTTCCATAAAAAAAAGAAACTTAATTAAAATTTACTAAATTAATTGACTTATTACAAAACTAGTTATTGAATATTGTATTTTCATCAAGCTAGAGTATGTATGCAAAATTTGAAGAAAATCTATCATCAGGAAGTGATTTATTACAAGATTTGATGCTCACAGACAAACAATCAGTGACGATGAGTAAATAAAAGCATTGGTATAAAAGCTCCTTACATTTGCAAAAAGACCTCTAAATTTGCAAAATATGCCCCCAAAATTCCTTCCTTCCCCCCCCCCCCCTCCTTAATAGATGAGTCTGGGTGAACCTAGCCGCTGCTCTAGTCAGTACCTAAAAAGGTTCTATAGGCACTTTTTTAAGTAAGATTGCGCAAAAGTTGAACAAAAGAGCGGTAAGAAAAGATTATTCAATGTGAAAAAGTTTGAAAAGCTTCCAAAGATATTTTCTGTTTTTCCCGAGGTGGAATCTTTTAATGGTTTTATAAAAAATCTTTTTTAAAAAAGACTTTTAATCAAAACAGAAAAACCTTATTTTAATCTGCAGTTTTATTTTTAACTCAAATTAAAAAATGTTATATCTATTTTAATACACAATACAATTTTAAGCACGCAAAAATTGATTCAGTAAGTTATATTATATAGGCCAACAGATATACGATAGGGGTGTTTAGAAAAAAAAACTTTTAATTTTAAAAAACCAAACCATCTAAATATGAAGCAAATATGCTTAAACTAACTCCCAAAAAATTTGAGCACCATTGTATCACTCTTTCCTTGTGAAAATCCTGACTAAAAACGGTTTATTTTAAGCCACGAATCAGAATTGATTCAGAATTGAGTTAATTAAACTCTATTGATTGCCTTTCTTTGTTCTTTTTTTCTTTCTGTTACTCTCTGCTGCCAGTAAGCAAAAAAATAATCAATTTTAACTGAAATAATAAATAATAAAAATATCTTCTAAAATTTTTTCAGTTTAAAGTTTAACCATTCTACTAAACTTAATATCCTCTGTCCTAAATATGAACTTACTTACTCCAACCAAGTTTTCCAAAAACATCAAATCCTCAAGCTTATCTTTGCTGATCTTTTATTATGTTATAATTTTTTATGTCTTATATGTTTTTCAAATCTGTTATGCCCAAAAGATTGTTTTTAAGGTT